GAACCGGAACATCACAACACACATGAACTTGACAATGAGAAGCTAGAACTAGTGAAAGGCACATGCACATAGAGGAGAGATCAACTAAGTATGAATCGGAACATCATAATGTGAGAGTTGAGCCATGTACGTGAGTGAGATTGTCTCAAACACATGCTCATGGCTCATGTATGCAACCAAGTTTGAAACGGAATGTCATCGTCCACCATGTGAGTGGAAGGCACAAGCGACTAGTCCCAAAACACAAGTCTTGAGCATGAGATAACTTATGGAAAATTCAGAGTATTCCCTACTAGCCTATGGGTGAAAATCAAGACTTACATTAGGCCAAATCACAAGTATTGAGCACGGGATCGTAAATGAAAGAATCGGAGCATCTCCTATTAGTATATGAGTGAAAGCAAGATCTATATGAGACCAAATCACAAGAATTGAACATGAGATCATCCATAGAAGAAGTAGAGCATCCCTACTAGTATGTGAGCGAAATGCAAGAGTTGAAGTAGCCCAAATCACAAAGATTGAACATAAGATCATCCATAGAAGCATCAGAACATCTCCTATTAGCATGTGAGTGAAAAGCAAGATCTATACTAGTCCAAATCACAAGTAATGAGCATGAGATCATTCATAGAAGAATTGGAGCATCTCCTACTAGTGTGTGAGTGAAATGCAAGATCTACAGTAGTCCAAATCACAAGTAATGAGCATGAGATCATTCATAGAAGAATCGGAGTATCTCCTACTAGCATGTGAGTGAAAAGCAAGATCTATACTAGTCTAAATCACAAGTAATGAGCATGAGATAATTCATAGAAGAATCGGAGCATCTCCTACTAGAGTGTGAGTGAAATGCAAGATCTATACTAGTCCAAATCACAAGTAATGAGCATGAGATCATTCATAGAAGAATCGGAGCATCTCCTACTAGTGTCTGAGTGAAATGCAAGATCTACACTAGTCCAAATCACAAGTAATGAGCATGAGATCATTCATAGAAGAATCGGAGCATCTCCTACTAGTGTGTGAGTGAAATGCAAGAGTTACACTAGGCTATATCACAAGATTTGAGCAAGAGATCATCCATGGAAGAATCGGAGGATCTCCTACTAACAGGTGAGTGAAAAAGCAAGATGTACAAACCACAAGTAATGAGCATGAGATCATTCATGAAAGAATCGGAGCATCTCCTACTAGCATGTGAGTGAAAAGCAA